AGGGAAAAAATGGCAGAGAAGGGTGTGGTGGAAGAGGAAAGGCGCGTTGAGGAGGAAAATGAAGGACCATCAAAGAGGCGTCGGACGGGTTCGCGGCTCTGTGGCATTTGCCGCAAGACTGGCCACAATGCAAGGACATGCCCAGAGACTGGAGAAATAGATAGCTCAAGCGATTCTGAGTAGTTTCAATTGATCGCATCAGATTTTGGTGGACTTTTGGCAGTTTGTAGTGGTGTGGTCTAGAAAAGTGTCCCGGTCGATGGGGTGTCCCGCTCGATGGTGGACCACGTTATAGGAAAGTACCTTTACAATAAGAGGAAGGGCAATCAAGAAAAGATATAATTAAAGCCTGAGACAGAAGAAAAGAAGGTGAAAAGAAGAATAGGAGGTTGACGTTCAATGTCCACCTCCTGTTCGACGCGAACAAACACACCAGGGCTGGATTGTAGAACCCTATTTACGTCGTGAGGCTTGGGCAGTGTAATGTCACTAACACGAAGGAGCAAGGTAGTAAGGTCTGTGCTGTCTCTCTACCGGGACACATGGCTCATGGGTTTTGTCCTTACCTACCTTGTGTACGGTACACGTTTGCGGTACCACCTACCTCCGTACCACTGCTCTGCTAGACAAGCCCATAATCAACCCACCGACTGCCGGAATCGTCGCCAGCTCGACGTTGCTTCGCAACAACAACCGAGGGGCCGTGGAAAGTGGGGCGTCCAGGCCCACATCGAAACTTAAAGTTAAGGGATCACAAAAGGTACACAGTTTGCTTCCTATAACTGCATATTACCCCCGTTTTTTTGGTACTTTTGCATTTATCCAGCAACAGCAAATCGCACGTTATCTTATCGGGTTATGTCGACTTCCCCAGCACCTGAACCACAACCAGTACCTGGAACACTACGATCCATCAACTAACTTTATCTTCAACCCCATCTTTACTGCCAAGGGCCCTTGCAAACGTGTTTTCAACCTCCCCTGGATACTGCTGCCCTGTATTTCTATGGATCGGCTCCCTACGGCTTTCCCTGACGCCCCCGGGGTCTCCGATGGCCCGGACGGTCCGCGGCCGTCGTTACCGACAGTGCCCCACTGCTACTCTTCAACGTCCGTGTCCCGGCCCACGACATTCACGGATCCTGATCCCCAGGATGACCTATCTCGAGCTCAGCTGCCAATGGGGATGACGATGGGCACGAAGATGGGGTCATTTCCCATACATTTGAGGGCCGATTGGATGAACTGTTCGATCAAGAGGAGCAAGAGGAAATGGAGGAGTCCCAGGCACTTGGCTGTATCGAGGTTGCAGGCGGGTAACTATAGCAATTGAACCAGTTTCGTCGCAGATCACGGAGTAGTTTGATGAAAAAACAAATGATGCAGGTCGTGGTGGATCACACGAATGTAGTGAGCCTTCGCGAGATGCAAGGCTATCGTTATAACGCTATGGAGAATCTCTAATAGTACGATGTACCTTCTGAAATTCCCTATCATCGGGAAAACTCTCTTTCCTTAGCCCCACTCTTTCCACAGCCCGTCGAGACATCCCCACTGCTCTGCTAGACAGGCCCTTAATTATGCACGGCAGTCCAATGCTTGGGTTGGGATCACTGCAGTTGCTTGGGTTCTTGGCACCTGCCGCACCAGCACATGGCAATCTCCATCCTACAACCGCAGCAGAGACCCCAAGTCAACATCAAACCGCCATCCTTTGTGCCGCTTGGTTGGTTTCAGTCACCGGATTGCCGCTCCAGGGCCCGACACTCTCTTTTCCAACCTAACAAGCCACATCGGCTGACCCTTTGCAACACTGCATGGCGTGAGGTAGGCATGTGTCATGCCGTCAGAGCCCCGCTGAAGTCCCGCCCGCTTCCATGCCAACCTCCCGCCGTATCCGGCCACAACAGCAAACACCGCGCCGGGCCATGTGCATTGCCTATTGCAGATACTGACACCACCTTATCGACGAACAACATCGCAAATACCCGCCCGACATCAGGACGCTCCCTCACAAATTTGGATGTCGTGGTTTGCGATAATAAATGAGAGGAAGAGCCCACCCTATCAATCAGCTGTGCCCTTGGCGGCCCACCGTCTTCAATTTATTTGTCGTGTGAGCCTCGCCGATCCCACCGCACCTGGCCCGTCTACGTCACCAGTTTCATTCTAGCTGGCCCGACAGCCGATCGCCCATCTCTGCCGGGTTCGCGTCCCAAGCCTCGGAGACCCATCCGCGCCGCCGACCTCGTTATCGCCGCTCCCTGCTCCGACCGCCGAATGCGGATGAGGATACAGTGACAGAGTCGAAGCCATGGGAAATGCAAGCACAAAGGAGTCCCGCGCCGGGGATGCTGGCAATCGTGCCCATCACCCCGGTGCTGGCACCGCCCGCGAGGCCGGCAGCGTTGCTCTCCTGCAATCCGAGAGAGTGTCGAGCCGGAGGAACAGGGTCAGCCGAGGCGACCTAGGAGGCATCTCGGGCCTGGGGTTCGGGCCCGGATCAGGCTCCCAGGCGGAACCGCCCTACGAGCGTCGCGAGACCAAACAGGAGAGGGAGGCACGGAGGCTGGAAAGAGAACGGATTGCGAGAATTGCCGAACGGGAGCGAAGTATGAAGGAAGAACACGTCGATGGCGGGTATCTGGTCACCATGGGAACATACACCACTCCAGAGGACTTCAACAAGCAGATTGTTCGACAGCTCCAGGTACGTGGCGCTCTCCCTATGCTGCCAGTAGCTCTTGGTCGAAATGCTCATTCCCATCACAGATTGAGCGGAAGTTGGCTCCCTTCTGGCGTGGTTTAAACGACTACAGCGACCAATGGACCGAGCCTCAGATCATTGCTGCCGCGCGAGGCCTGCGCGTCCCCCCCCCAGACCAGACCCCTCCTGATGAGCTCATTCCACGGCGCCCGGCCAGCTACCATGCGGCAACACCTCCGAACCTGGACAGCTTAACGGTGCCCATCGGTGGCCGCTCACAATCCATCGCCTCCGATCACGCCTCCTCCAATCCTGCCTCTGAACTACCATCGCCTGTTTCCAGCCACGCTAGAGCGAGTTCCCCATTCAAGCCTCGCGGCAAGGCTCTTGCCGCCGTCTTGGGTGGAGGGTCTCGGAACGCGTCGACAACCGATATCGTGCCCCGCGAGATCAACCTGCCACATGATCCTTTCGTCAACGGGCAGCCCATTGAGGTGTTTCTGTACAAGAATGCCATCGAGTGCCCCATCTGTTTCTTGACCTACCCGCCATATCTGAATCACACTCGTTGCTGCGACCAGCCGATATGTAGTGAGTGCTTTGTTCAGATCAAGCGGCCCGACCCGCATTTTCCCGAGGGACACAACGAGAACGACCCGAACCACAACCCCGAGGAAGCTGCAGGCCTCCTGGTCTCGGAGCCCGCCTGTTGCCCCTACTGCACACAGCCCGATTTCGGCGTAACCTACGAACCGCCCCCTTTTCGACGGGGCGTAACGTACTCCATATCACCCGCTGCGGTGGGAACGACGAGCGCGGCTATGTCCTCGAGCAGCTCGGTCAACTCGGCGACTCTGTCCCCAGGACTCGCGTCTCCTCGCAGTGGCGGTGGCCGCCGGCGGAACCAGTCTCTGTCCGCCAGCAGCCCGGCTGTCATCCTGACGGATCGAATCCGGCCAGAGTGGGCAGCCAAACTGCAGGCAGCACGGGCCCATCAGGCAAGGAGAGCCGCCGCAGCCACAGCGCTCCATACGGCGGCCTTTCTCATGGGCAATTCGGATAACCGAGCGTTCCGCAGCCGGTTTGGGAGGCGGAACACGGGTAGTTCGGGATCGGCAGCGGTCGGTGGAGCCAACAACCCTGATCCTGAGAACGGGGATAGCGGCTCCGGAACACCTTCCCAAAGCGGCCCGGACCGCAACCCAGGGGGAGGAAGTCGCGGCCCACTCGGCGATGGCGGAAGCCGGCGCACTCGACTCGAGGACCTTGAAGAGATGATGCTCGCCGAGGCGGTCCGTTTGTCGCTCGCGGCGGAAGAGGAGCGCAAGCGGAAGGTGGAGAAGGAGGAAAGAAAAGAGGCCAAGAAGCGGGAGAAGGAGGAGCGCAAAGCTGCCAAGGCCGCTGCGAAACAAGCTGGACCTTACGAGGGTTTTGCCAGCAGCGGGCAGAGCTCGGCGAGCGGGAGTAGTCTTAGCCTGCCTGGCTTCGGGTTTGGAAGGAAGCGGGGTAATAGCGCTGCCAGCAACCTCCGGATCGAGGCCAGCGTCGCTAGCGCTATGGCCGCCGGCGAGTTCCCGTCGGAAGCAAGCTCCAAAGATAAAGGGAAAGGCGTCGACCGCGCCGCCTCCACGCCTCCCGAGAGTGCTGCTCCTGACATGCCCGCCGATCCGACCGTCTCAGGTGGCCCGGCCGGCACGTCAAATCCGCGTCCGATACCCCACCTGCCCGCTGGCCCGTCTCACCTTCGGCAAATGAGCAACGCCTCGTCGGTGTCTTCGTCGATACTCGATAGCCAGCACAACAGTTATACCTCGCCCTCTCTTCTGCAGGATCCTCGCGGCAGCGGCCTCAGTCTTGCCGGTGCTAGCGATGACGGCGGTGACCACGATCGGGACCGTGATCCAAGCGCCAGCACGGAGCCGATGTTCAATTTTAGGAGTCTGGCTGAGGTGGTGGGCGTAAGTCTGGAGGGAGAAAATGCCGGGAGACGTCTCAGCCTGATTGAAGCGGAAAGGAAGGCCAAAGAGGCCGGCGCAGGTCAGCCCCAGGCAGGTGAGGTTGGGGCAGCAGACAACGCTAGGCGGGCAGAAGAAGGTGTCATCGGGAGGTCGTCAAGCGGGACGATGTCAACAAGTCAGCCGGTCGAAGTTACGGCGGACAAGAACAGCAAAGGGTCCGGTGATGAAGTTAGGGCGGATGCCCAGACAGACACAACGCCTGCCACCTCGGTTTCTCTCATTCCGCCCCCGACGGTTACCATCACGCCTGACACGCCCGCGGCTGCTGGTACTGAGGATGACTCGAAACAGCTGGGTTGTGACTCAGCCGTGGAGCGTGTGCAACAGGCAACACAATATTAGCTCGGCACTCGGATTGGGCGAGACCCGCGGTAAACCCTTCATGGAAGAAGTACAAGAGGACAACAGGTGCTGGACCAGAACCCTGGCGAAAAGGTGTGGCTGTGACCATTTTTTGGGGTCGAGTGGAGAGAGGATGACAGACGACTGGATGAAATGGAAACGGTTTGCGGGTGGTACGGTGGTTAGCTGTTCTTGGCCGGGGGAAGGCAAAGAAGAGGGTTGTATTGTTGTGGCAAGCCTTGGTGTTGGACTCCGTTTTTTTTTCTTTCCCGTGTCTCCCGTCCCCAGCGATCCAGTCTCTTGTCTTGCTTTCCCAACCTCTCCTCTATCTTCTTCTTTCCCTATCACAGTAGAATCAGTCCAGCACGTGCTCCGCAACACTTTGGGGGGTTAACCTACAGAGGATGAGTCGGGCGCAAAGGCGCGAGAATGGAATGCCGTAACTAAGACAGGAGGACTGGGCGGAGTCTGGAGCACTTGGAGCGTCTGGCACTTGTTTGACTGCATTGAGAAATCGAGTATTGTTGAGGCTGACATACATTAGACGCGAGAATGATATTTTTTTCTGTGAGCTTTTATGATCAGGGTCTAATTTGGGGCACTCTGCCTCCCCTGTTTTGCCTTCTCATATGCAGCAATTACCCCATCGTCGGGGACCTTCCCGCGATCGCATTCTCGCCTTGTGTTTACAAAGTCAGGCCTCCGGCTTTCCCACACGTAATCCAACCACGATCCCAACGCAGGCCAGAGTTGCTTTCGGACCAAGGTCAGCACCTTGTTTTGGCGCGTCGAGCCATACGGGTCGTCGCTACCACCAGCTAGTTTCCCAAGGGTGGAGGAGACCCCGCGCCACTCGGCGACGGTCTCTTCGAGTTCGGCAGTGGACGACACCCCGCAAACACTTGCGCCGACCTTGCGGGGCCCGGTGCCAGGGATGATTATGTCAACACCCAAGCCAGCCGCGGCACCGACCCGAATCCACTCGGCCAGCGACCAGCGGATCGCGATCGACTCCAAGCGCTCGCCCGCCGCCGCCGCCACGCCGGCAAGCTTCTTACAAGCCACGCGCAACTCGGGCGGCGAAGGGTGCCAACGCACCAGCGGCGAGTCGTCGCCGCTAACGGGTATCCCGCGGGTGGTGAGCAAGCCCATGCCGAGCATGCTAGCGTTCAGGACGACGTCCACACCCGCCTTCTTGAGCCTCGCCAACGGTGTCGTCCCATCAACAACAACCTCTTGTTTCTCGCTCCCGCCATCCACCACCCACGGCAACCCCAGCCTCCGATTCTGCACGGTAAAATGCCCATAGCTCAGCACCGCGTCCAGCGGCTCCCCCGTCTCGGACATAATCATTTCTGCTAACGTGCAAAGCACGTCGGGCGGGAACCCGCTGATGCCGACGTAGCGGATGATGCCTTCCTCGTCGCGCAGCTGGCGCAGCGCCCGCACTGCGGCCAGGACTTCTTGGGGGGACACGAACTCCACGTCGTGCATGTAGACCAGGTCGAGGTAGGGCGTGTGCAGGCGTTGGAGGCTGCGCAGGACGCTGTAGCGGACCCAGGTCGGGGAGTAGTCGAACTCGGTCGAGGCGATGCGGCCGGCTTTGGTGACAATAAAAATGCTGGAGCGGTCGAGGGGTGGGGTTGTGCCGTCGTCGAAAGAAGGGGTGGAGGTCTTGGTGGTGGGGTTCATGAGGGCGTCGAGGGCGGTGCCCAGGAGGGTTTCGGAGGGGCCGTAGTAGGGGCTTGTGTCGAAGGCGGTGACGCCGAGGGACAGGGCTCGCGCGACGATGTCGCGGTAGGGCATTGAGTGCGGGTCGGCGACATATTGGTGGTTGAAGGTTGCTGTGCCGAGGATGAGGGGTGGGAGGACGGAGTGCAGTGGTGGTTTATTCTTGGTTTCTGAGGTCGGGCCAACGGCGGGCTTGCTGGGCTCAGCCATTGCTATACTACTTTGCTATAAGAGTATTTGGGGGGGTGTCGGTGGCCTCGACGGCGTCTTCTAGGTTTTCCTGTAGTTGTGGAAGTATGAGAAGCAGAATGGGGCCGAGAGATGGGAGGAGGGAGTCAGCAAATGGTGAAGAGAACGCCGAGTCGTAGTGGGGTTGAGATTCAAAGCGGGGTTATTCCAACTTCCAAGAATATGGCTGCGAATGAGGCCGGTGCGGGAATGAAGCAACCTACGGGTGTTGTCACATAGATTAGAAAGTTAGAGAACTCAGCCTCAGTCTTGCAGGACAGCATTCCGTGAGTCGCCGGTGAACATAGTCCCCTCAAGTGGATCAAACTCTCAGCTAAGTAGAAATTGATTGAGGGGAAAACGAGGAGAAAAGTTGTCTGAAGTTCAACCTTCGGTGAGGATTGTCGACATTTGGATGGATGTTTCTTGTTCAGCCCCACTCCAAATGAGCCCTGGGAGGGGGGCCGTTGTGATTGGATGTTGTTGGCTTACACACGGCAACAGAAACAGAGAAGCAGAGAACTTCAACGTATCCTCCCCTATTGAACAAGCAATAGTCACAGGCAATGATGTAAGCGTTTGCTGCAATGCAGGAGCAATATGGCGATTGAATTGGTTAATCTAATAGTAGATTGAACATACAAAGTCTGCTAAGTTCAGGGGCGTTGGCAGACCCTACACTACGGCATACAACTTTCGAATGATTGTTGATACGAAATTATGGACAGGGGAGGGGTCCCCACCAGTTTTTACGGTATTATCTGATTCAAGGGCCATCAAGTCAATCTCAACCTAAGGAAATCGAGGATTGAGGAGAGTTCACAGTAATCTCAGTTAACTGCTTTAATTGCGCTATAATAGGCTGTCCTAGCGTTTGTTTACGAATTATGACCCTGGTCGCCAAAGTCAGATGCTAACAATCATTCACGGGGGAGATAGAAACGATAAAACAGTAGCGTTTGGCAGACCCCTGATTGTTGCGTAATGGTGATGTTTGGAGCGTCAACTCAAAATGTTTTGTGGACATCCTACTACTTCGTACCACAAACTGGCTGACCGACCGGGAGGCCACCCTTCACTTCGACGGTCAAGCAGCTCGACCGACGGCAATACGAGCGGGGGTCCCCCAGGGCTCTCCTCTATCCCCAGTCCTCTTCATCCTCTACATCGCCTCCCTGTACAAGCAGCTGAAAGAGGAACACCCCCATCTGGCGATAGCGGGGTTTGCGGACGATACCAACCTCTTGGTCTTTGGTCGGGAGCCGGAGGCTAACGTTCGACAGCTGGAGGCAGCGTGGGAGACGTGCCTG